TTAATAGTATATTTAATCTAATCATAGAGAGTTCCAGGTTCAGGTTAAGAAATTATTGTTTCTTTAAAACAAATCAATACAATTATTTATCCCGTTGACAATTCTGGTTCTAAAACCAGAAGACAAATGCGTGTCTGAATGTTTCAGGCCAAGTAACCTAAGATGGGCTAACGTGTTATTGGGCTATTAGGTTCATTTGGGTTAAGGTTGACACTAATGGGCTGACTGGTTATTGGGAGTTTTTGTTTAGGTAAACACAAAAATGTTATAATAAAAGTTCTACTACTCGATAAAAAAAAAAAAGAAAAAGAAAGAGGAAGTGGACTAAAAACCCAAAAACCTAAATAAAAAAAATTATATTATATTTATTAAAAATATGGTCTTTGGTATGGTACTTGAGAGAATATCTTATATTTTTTTAAATTGACTACCGTGAATCTTCTAATATTTTAAAGATTAAAATATATTTATGTTTTTTTAAATAAAGTAATAATTTCATTATCTATTATAAATATTTAATATAAAATTAACAGTAATAATATTTTACATGTGAGAAGATATAGAATATTCTCTTAATTTATAAAATAACATAAATTAATAAAAAAAATTAGGTTATATACTATTCAATATATGTTGATGAAATAAATTAAAAAAATTAAATTAAAAAATCATATAAAAGTAAATATTACTATTCTAAGCTGAAGAGTATGTATTCTAAAAAGACAGCAACTGGTATGAGAAGGGTAAGATTATGATCCAAGCATAACGTCAACAAGTAAATTTTTTTTAGAGTGAAACTTAGGTAGACACTGTCACACAATTGGAGAACTAACTAGCAAGTGTACTAAATAGTTGTAACAAGTAATAAAATTTGAAAATCAATGTGAGTTCCAAGTATCGTCCTCAGGGATTAGGTCTATCAATTACAACTTCACAAATCAATAACTAGTTAAGCTAAACGAATTTGAAGTATTTTGAATCATTTAACAAACAAAAGTAATAAAGTGCAAAATCTTAAAAATATAGCAAAACAGAATACGAATTTTGTATTAAAATACTATGTGAAAAATAGTTAGGAATCATTTCACTAGACTTTTGATTGCAATGTAATCATGTTCTAGACTCTTAAGAATTCTAATTGATTGATAATCAATTTTACTTCTTTAACTAAAGGACAATTCTTTGCCTCATTGATCCTAATACCTAATTAAACCTCCCTGATTCCTTAAGTGAAATTCTATCAAATATTGCATTAAGTTCTGAAAATTATAAGATTACTAGATTATGATACTTATTCCTAAGATCTCAATAACCTAGGCATATGATTCAGATCTGAGAAATAAACTTAATTTTTATTTATGAAGATTCCTCTAGGTTCAATTGAATGAAGGATTAGTTTACAATTGCATTAAGAACAAAATCACATCCTCAATTCAATCAAAACTTCAAGGTCCAGATCCAAAATTACATCACAATATCAAATTTGAATCCATAAATCTGTAACAAAAAGAAATCAAAACATGTTCCTAAAAGAAAAAGAGAAAGAAAGAGTAGGAGAAGAGGAGCAGCATAATTTCTTCATAAATCCAATCCCTAGCTTGATTCTTCAAGGTCCAGAGCTTAAAAGTCGCCCCCAATCTCCCTATCTAACTCTCCTAAGGTGTAAAAGTGAAAAGAAAACAAAAAATGGCCAAAGACTTCCAATTCTGAACTCTTAACTTCTATTTATAATGTTTTTCCGTCTTTTCCACTTACAAACTTTAATCTCTGAGGATTATAGCATAAAAGGTCTTCTAGAAGCTTCTACAATGAAAATAGAAACTCAAATCGTCCAAAATTGACAATTAGAAGTGTTTTTCAAAATTCTGTTATTTTGCGTAGACAACTAGAAGTGTCTACACTCAGCTTTGCATAGATACTCTCAGCGCTTGGAGTGGCTACGCACTTACTACGTAGCTACTCTGAGCACTTGAAGTGGCTACGCGCTCAATTGCGTCGCTACTCTAAACACTTGAAGTAGCTACGCGCACTGTGCAATTCTGAATTGGCCTTGGATGTAGCTACTCTCTTGATCTTCATGAATTTTCTTCTTCAAAATGTTCACTCTATGTACTCAAAGTGATTACGCCCTACATATAACACTTGATTCTTCATCTTTTAAGCTCAATTCCTCTACTTTCTTCACTTCAATCTTTAATTCAAATTCTCAGCTCAAGCTTCTACACAAGGATTAAGTCATTTTAAGTCAATTTGTTCAGAATTGGACTAAAAATCTAAGATTCTAAACTATTTATACAATTATGAATATTAATGTAATTTTTATGATATTTTTAAGTTTATTTACTATTTAACTCTTTATTTACTAACAAAAACTAGGCTAAAAAATAGTAAAATGTGGATTTATTAGACACGTACCCAACATTTATCATTATTAGACACAACTAAATAATTAAGTAACACATCATTTAAATTTAATATAAAAATATTTTTAAAAATTTTTTATTAAAAAATTGGAATTGATTGATGGAGGAGTTTGTCATGATTAAGTGAAAAGTTTTGGCACTTGAAGAATTTATCGATGTCAAAAGTAACGAGAAGTCGATGCTGATGAATAAGATTAAAGAGCTCCACAAGTGGGGTGCAATGCATATTATGTCATTTGCAAAGTGTTTTAAGCATCTATTTTTCTTGTGTAATAGATGGAGTATGAATATGTTAAAAGGAGGATATGATAGAATTTTTTTTTAAATTTATTGTTTTAGATTTTAAATGAGGTATGTTGTGTTGGAAATTGGTGAAAATTGACTAAAATACTAATAAAAATACTAATACCCTAACTACAAATTTAGATTCAAAGGGAAAGGGTAAATCTATGACTGACATAATGATTAAGATGTTAAAACTATATCTTAAGATGAAACTAATATTTGACATGATATTTGTCTAATCACTCCTTAAAAAGTATAATAAACCAAATCTTTGATGTTATTAACAAATATCTCTATAGATTTTAGGTCTTAATTTATCCAATACTTAGTGCATTTGTTGAATCACTCCTTAAGACGTATGATTAACTAAACTTTTGAAGTTATCAATAAAGGATTGTATGGTTCTTACTATATTGATAGTTCTATTGATTCCATTAATCAAACGTAAATGAACAAAGAAGAGAACTAAATAAATTAATAAAAAATAAAAATATGCAAAGGAGTGGTCTTGTAAACGAAAAAATACATCATATATATATACTCTGTGAACAAGAAGACACATCAGACATTGTATAAAAAAAATGAAGTAGATAGTAAATTTTAGTCAATCAAGTTTCATTCTTTTTCCTTTTTCTATTTGTTTTTATGATGTGAAGCTTGAGAAAATAACAAGAAGGATAAAGTTTATCTTTTTGAGTCAATCAAGCTTCTTGTTTCTTTTTTTTATTTGTTTTTATGATGGGAAGCTTGATAAAATAACGAGAAGAATAAAGTTTATCCTTTAAAGCTTTAGTAAAGAAAAATAATTTGAAATAACAAATGGTGACAGCTAAAGTGAGTTAGTGTATTATATGACTTATAAATAAGTTAACAAAATAGTCTTTTATGATATGTTTTAAAAGTTATAATATTTATAATTTAATTTTAAAAACTTTTGTAGGATAAGGATTTCTAAGTATTATATATTTAAAATAAGTTTTAAAAGTAATTTTCTTTAAAGAAAATATCTTTTAAAAATATAACCGTAATTGTTATGAAATTAAGTTCCATTTTTCATTTATATAAAACTCAATCCTATTATCTTAAAATCACTCCTTTCGTCTTTGTTTCTAAAGTTAGTTCAAGTATTTTCTTTGTATTTCTAACAACTAGTTTGATAAATTTAGTACTTGTAATTGAAATTTAAGTGAGAAAAGTTTGAAAGGATAAAAAACAAGAGATAGAATGAAATCAAGTAATCCCTCCTTAGAAGAGTATCGTAGAAACTTTGTTCAATTTTTCTTTATCTTACTTTAATTCTTTGTTGTTATTTTCTGCTTCTAAATAAAATGCGAACATGTTTCTCATATCTAACAACTTAAATAATCATACTTTCTTTACATTGTCATATTTTAAATTGTGATATTTGTAAATTGGAACCAATTAAATTTGTAAATATTATATATTCATCACAATTCCCTTAGAAACCGATAACATATATTAGAACATGAATAATGACTAAAAAGATATAGTGAACGCTAAAAATTGCAAAAAAAAAAAATCTTGTAATTTTTGCTTAGGTTATACCATATTCACTTAAGCTAATTTTATAAAGTGATGAACATACAAAATTCATCAATATTCGCTGAAGGGATTATTTTTAGCTTAAGTTAAGTTAATTTCACTTGAGCCATAATAATTTGACTTAAACAAAAATATAATACTAAATCTTAGTTTAAGCCATACTTTTTTCACTTAAGCAAAAATTAGAATATCTTGTGTGGCTTAAATGAATTAATGATCACTAAAGAAATATTCATTCAGTGAACTATTTTTTTTATAACTTTTGCTTAAGTGAAAAAAATATAGCTTAAGTGAAATTTACATAAATTATTTTATTCTGCTAAGTCATCTTATCTCTTTGCTTATTAGACAAAGAAACTTTGAAAAATGTCATGTGTAAAACATTAACGTTATTGCTGATTTTGTATTCATATATTCAAATTAGATCGCTTTCTATATTTAATTGAAAGGAAAAGAAGATAATATATAATGAAATAAAAAAAAATAAAAGAGAAAAATATTATAATTCTCTTGTTGAGCAGTTTAGAAAATGATATTTTTTATGGGATCCTTCAATAATTTTATTTTCATGCAAATCCTCTTTTTGACTTGAATATATTTTTGATTTATATAAATACAGTTATGTATTTTTAGTTTCATAAAAAAAAAAAATTTAACACACGTGGGCTAGGGTTAGGCCAGCTAGCTTTTTGACAGCTCTACATATGGTAAAATTTTTAAGTTATTGCTACCACTTCGAAACTTTTTCGTTCCCCGCCTCCCAGAGTTCCCGTTCTGGTATCCTCTCTTTTCTTCTCCTTTTTTCAAATTTTCAATTCTGATTCGTGTTGCTCCAATTGAGTTTCGACATTAGTAATTGCATTATTGACCCCAAATGGATCTTCTTCGGCTTTACTTTCAACTAAACATCGGGAATTCTGATAATTCACGGTTACTAGAGATCGGAGAGCCCAAATTCAAACCCTAAATTCATGGAATATATTTATTTTTTTGGGTAAATTATAGTGCAACATAGGTTTCCTGTCTGTTTTTGTCTCTGTAGCTGAAAAGCATCTATTTCACGTGGTGCTAACCAACTATGAGTTCTGAAAAGATGTCTTGGTGGACAATATCTTTTTCTTATAGGGTTTTTATGCTTGTGGTCAACTTCTCTTTCCCTTTGTGCTTGCTTTGCTACTTTGAAAATGTTGAATTCACTTCATTACATGAACCTGTTGTCATTTTAGAACATTAAAAGTGCTATTTGAATGTTCTTCTCTTTAGGTTTTGTGCTTATAAGTTGTAGAAGTAAGTTCAATGTTCAAATAGGAAAGATGGTATATGTTCATGCTTTTCACCTTTTGGATTTTGATAGGTGGATTAATGAAACCTGCAGAAATAGCCCCTTGAAAACCTAGAGGAAATTGAGTTGGGGCAGTTAGTGTCGGCTGGCAGTCACAAGTCGCAAGCCCTTTCCTTTCTTCTCAGTAGCTACTTAAAATGGACGCCAAGATTGACATTGCAGACAAAAAGGTAACTTCTTTTGCTTCGTTGCTTTCTTCTTTGCAAGAAGTTATTAATATTTGAAAACAAAAGAGACACATTACGGCATAGGTTAGTTATTCTACGAGTGTAGAACCATTTGAATATTTCGAATCTTAGGTTCACACAAAACATAGTCTACCCTGTTTGTTCTTTTTTACCAATGCTCGCTGGTTTAATTGGCAAGGAGTTCCTTAAGCAAGGTCTCTGATTCAAAGGTTGTGATTGGAGAAAATAGCCACCTGAAAGTTTTGAGTTTGACTTGACTTGGTTGAGTTGAGGCCCAAAGTGACTTTGAGATACCGAGTTCTCAAACAGGGTGTGATAAGTTATAATGAAGAGTCTCCTTGTTTTGTTTGGTTGAAGGGGAGGGGGGAAACAATAGTAGTAATATGATATTATTATACCCTTATAAGTTTTAATGGAGGAGAGGGGAAGATAAATGAAACCTCAAGGACTATGTTTTTCAGCACAATTTTAAAGTTTTAATTCACTTTGCCTTCCTTCTAATCCAAAATACACTAATATTGGAGGAGAGATAAAAGTGGGAGGAGAGGGATTTTAGCCCCCTCATTTCCCCTTGCTTACCCTCCAAATGTCTGAACCAAATGAGGTAAAAATAAAAAAATTCTGCTCACCTCCTCTTCTATTTGAACCCATTCTCTTAGGTCCCATGAACCTCAGTGGACAAGTCTAGTCCAACTTCGTCATGGGGTTTGGTGGCATTGCATTGATGAGCTTCATCAAGTCAACAAACACCTGAAAATTCTATCGAAAGCCAAAGACTGGCATAGTTTTCATCTACAGTAAAGAAGGTTGAGCTTGTGGGGTTTGGACGGCACTGGCTTAGGTGCGCGGGTTTCTCGAGTTAAGACATATTTTGAAGTTCAAGACACTTGGCTAGAGATAAAGGTGCGACTAGCCAAAATCTCCATGGAGGGGCCTACGGTTCATTGGTTCAATCTATGGATAGAAAATGAGCCAAAACCATCATGGGATAACCTGAAAGTAGCACTACTTCAGAGGTATGGAGGGGCTCTAATGAAGAATCCTTATGAGAGTTTGGCAGAAATTCAATAGGATGGGACTATGAATTCACATATCAGAGTTTGAATATAGTTTCTCAAGTTCCAAAAATGGCAGAGCAGCAATTCATGGCCTACTTTATGCATGGTCTTTAAGCATAGATTTGACGAAAGGTTCGTATTCATAAACCTAATAACAAGGTAAGGGTGATCGAGTTAGCGAGAGCAATTGAGGTTGACTTGTTAGGGGATGTGCAGTATAAAAATAACATATAGGAAGAGTTCAAATATAGTAAATGGGGGTTACTCTCATCCTCTGTTTCCACATTTTGGAATAGAGCCTTTGCCTACGGTGTGACTTGGTGGAAATTCAAGTGGAACACAAAACAAGGAGTTTTGAAAGGAAGAAGGAAAGTTTGGTGGTTCAAGTTTGGGCAAAGTTGGGGCAGGAGAAATGCGAGTCAATAATGGGAAAGACCAAGGAATGCACCACTTATTATATAGTGAACTAATGGAGAGGAAGCAAAAGGGGTTGTGTTTCAAATGTGGCCAAAACTTTCACCCTATGTAAAAGAATGTGATTTTTGTAAACAGCCAAAATATCAAGCTCAATCTCCTGTAGGAGCTTTGCTCTGGGTTTTGCAAAAAAGATTTCTGCAGTATTTTCTTTTTGTGAGTAATACTTTTCACATCTTTGTTTTGGTCTCTGACACATGCACACTCTTGGTTTAGTTATTTGTTTCCCCTTATAGTTTCAAGGGCAGCATGGAAAAGTCAATCATCATTAGATTATGTGCTTTTACTTTTAAATTTATTTAATGTATGGACGACTACATTTTCTATGAACTTAACAAATTAGTTCATGAAAATTAGTTTTATATTCATATGCTTGCAAAAAATCTTTACAACTTCTCTGTTTATCTGTGGGTGATGATAATCAAACTAGTGATTTCATCAGTAATATAGATAAATTATGATGTATTTGGGAATTTTTTGATGTATATATCTACTGGTTCAGATAGGGAAATCTAGTGAGTGTTCGTTAGTATTTTGTTTTGCTTTACATTCTTCTTTTTTTCTCTGCTCCAGCAAGATAACTTGTGCTTCCATGTGGGTAGGTGCTGGTTGATATGGTAAAATTGTCACAAAAAAGGGGCCTGAAGGGTAAACTGGGAGACTGGAAAGAATTCTTGAACAGTTATGACAAAAAGTTTGGAGCTGGTTTGAGTGACCCAGCAAAGAGATCCCATGAGACATTGGCTGCATTTCTAAAGACATTTTCAAAGGAGGAAGATTTGAAGGTAAATAACTTTTCAGTGCTTGATACACGCACAATGCGCGCGCGCACACACACACACACAAGATATGAGTTCATGATTCATCCATTTCCTCCCTGTTCTCAGTTTTTTTATAACATCATACGGCATCATTCAAACCAATACACATTGGAGCAACTGAAAGATAAATCTCATGATTCCCCTGAGCAGGTATATTTTAGTGGTGATTGTTCTGCTGGAGTCTAGATGGTTTAGTACTGCTACTACTATGTTGTAATTGACATAACAGATTTGTGTAAAGCAATTGAGTTATGGCTCAACTATTAATAATCATTTTGTAAGTTTCCTATTGAAAACTTAATTTCCTTACCCCTAAAGTTTATACATGGCATGCTGCAAGGGGTATGGGCTTTCTATGAACCTTTAATTCTTATTTCCTTAAGTGACTCAACAAATTTATTGAATTTTGTCTGGGCAGACACTGTTTTAATTGCTAATTACAATTATGGGTACGTTATGCATTAATTTTTATTTACTAGTTACATAGTTATAGTCTTATAATTTTATGAATTCGTGTTTTCCTGAGTTATTTCATCTAAATTGTCATGCCATTTTGAAAGTGGTGCACAAGTTGAATATGTCATGTTGCTGTAATTAAATCTGAATGTAGAACCTAACATAGTTATCAATAGCGGGCTGTAGTGAAGCAGCCACAGGCCACTGTACAATTTGAATAGTGAAGTGGTTTTACTTTTAAATAGCGTCCTTAGTGACTACAATTTAGCAGCGCTAGAGTGAAATTTAAAAAAAAAAAAATTCATTTTTTGTCCTAAAAAAGCACTGTCTTGGGGCATTTTTTTTGTACTTTTATTGTTATTTACTTTTATGTTTTACTTAAGAGCTGTGGCTTTTTATTTTTAATAATGAATATGTCATGGATTTTTAATTTTTCTTTTAAATCTTTTAGCATTTATGAATATAGTATAAATTATTTAATCTGTACATAAAATTTCTAAATAGCAGTCATCCTGCCATGTGCTATATTGCTATGGCATTTTTGGCGTCAGTCGCTACACGCTGCTATCTGAGATTTGATAACTTTGAAACCTATATTAAAGAGACTGCAACTGTGGTAGTAATAATAAAAGGTTTGGAAGGGTATATGCGAGAAAGAGAATTAGGTGGGACTAGGGAATCACTCCCTTGTTATGCAGTGAATTTATGCGTATGTGCGCTAATTGTCAGGAGAAAGAAAATAAATCCGGATATATTGTGGGGTAACGAGAGTGAGAGAGGGGGAGAGTACTGTGGGAAGTAATTCCATTTGGGAGACCCTGAGCACCTCGAATAGCTCAAGATAGTTTACTGTGCATTCTTCTTTTCTGCTGTATTTGCGGTGAATCATACTGATTCATCTTTATTTCCGTGCAATACTACATATTTCAGTACACTGCGTTCGTTGTACTTATTTCTTTTGTTATATCAAATTGATTCTTATCAATTTGGTATCAAAGCACGTCATTCCTGGGGTTGTGCATGGTACTGACGCGAGGGAAAATTGATGCTTTGGAACAGAGGTTCGGAGGCATGGAAACAACCATGGCTGAGATGCTCCGTAAGATGAACGAGTTCACCTTTCGTACGCGCCGATGCAGAGCACCTAGTCGAAGACGAGGTGATGGCGATGTCACTGATGATGAAGCGACACCCCCCCGACGTTTGCGATCACAGTCGGTATGAAGTGGGAGTTCGACGGCGATCTATAGAGGAGGACAACGTAAAATGGAGATTCCAGTTTTCTTGGGTGATTATGCGTATGGGTGGGTCGTGTGCGAGGAGAGGTATTTCCGCATCAATGGCGTGCGCGAAAGGGACAAGTTAGATGCAGTGGTAATCGCGCTTGAAGACAAGGCCCTGAACTAGTTTCAGTGGTGGGAGGATCAAGCGCAATCACGTACGTGGGAGGAATTTAAGGTGGCAGTGAAACGAAGGTTCTGCCCTGGCCTAATTAACAACCCATTAGGTCCGTTGCTTAGTTTGAAGCAGGAAGGGACAGTAATGGAGTATAGGGAGAAATTTGAACTTCATGTGGCAACTCTGGACAGAGAGGAACGTGTAATGTTGGATAGTATTTTCCTCAATGGGCTCAAGGAGGAATTACAAGCAGAGCTGAAACTGTATGATTATGTAGATCTAGTAAATCTCATGGATCGTGCTTTACTGATAGAGGAGAAGAATTTAGCAGTGTATAAGAAGGGGAGTCAGGTAAAAGAGAAAATGGATTGGAAGGGAAATAGCTCAAAGTTCCGTAGCACTTGGGAAGAAAGAACAAACAGGAGAGGAGGAGGTAAGGCGGGAATGAATTCGGGAGAAAAGAATGAATACAACTGAGTTAGAAGAGAGGAGTAATAAGGGATTGTGTTTCAAATGTGGTGAAAAGTGGAATTGAGAACATATGTGCAAATTTAGGCACATGAAGCTGATGTTGTGTGAAAGAGGGGAGGAATCCGAGGAAAATGAAGTAGAAGAGAAAAATGATATGGAAGTTGAGGAGTTTGGAGAACTGAAAACATTACACTTGTCATTGCAAAGTAGAGAGGGACTTACTTCAAATAAATCTTTCAAGGTGTGGGGTGAGATTAAAGGGAGGAGGGTTTTGACTCATTGATTTAGGAACAACAAGCAACTTTATTGCCCCTCGGTTAGTAGCTGAGTTGGAAATTGAAATGATGGACACTCCAATATATATGATAGAAGTTGGTTTGGGTGAAATGGTAAGAAATAAGGGGGTGTGAAGAGATATAGAGTTTATGGTACAAGGAGTAAAGTTTCAACAACATTTTTTCTTGATGGAATTAGGAGGCATGGAGATGGTGTTGGGAATAGAGTGGCTAGCTAGTTTAGGTAACATTGAAGCCAATTTCAGAAATCTGAGTCTGAAATGACAATGTGCAGGACAACAGTTTGTCATTCATGGTGATCCAGCATTGAGTACAGTGCATGTATCATGGAAGGCAATGATGAAGGCACTCCAGAATGAAGGGGTGGGGTATTTAGTGAAGTGCCAGAAAGAAGCAGAGTCTATGCTGATGACCGAACAGAATGATTCTGTGTGGACCCAATTGCTGTCAGAGTTTGAGGAGGTCTTTCAAATGCCTAATGGACTACCACCCAAGAGGGAACATGACCATGCTATTGAACACAAACCAGGGGCAGCAATCCCCAACATCAGGCTATACAGGTACCCTTATTATCAAAAAAATGAAATTGAGAAGATAGTGAAAGAGATGTTGCATGCTGGTATTGTTAGGCATAGTACAAGTCCTTTTTCGAGTCCTGTTATTTTAGTTAAGAAAAAGGATGGAGGTTTTGTACGGATTACAGGGCACTAAATAAAGTTACAATACCTAATAAGTTTCTTATCCCAGTAATTGATGAGTTATTAGATGAATTGGGGGAAGCTAATATTTTTTCCAAGCTGGATTTAAAGTCGGGTTACCATCAAGTTCGCATGAAAGAGGAAGATATTGCTAAGACAGCCTTCAGAATTCATGAAGGCCATTATGAGTACTTAGTGATGCCTTTTGGGCTCACTAATGCACCCTAAACCTTTCAGGCAATTATGAACCAAATTCTGAGACCATTTTTGAGACAGTTTGTGTTGGTATTTTTTTATGATATACTCATATACAGCAGCAGTGTAGAATTACATGAGAAGCATTTGAAAGAAGTGCTAGGAGTGCTACAGCAGAATCAATTATATGTTAACAAAAAGAAATGCTCATTTGGGCAAGATCAGATTGAATATTTAGGCCACTTAATTTCTGGAACAGGGGTGGCAGCAGACCCCAAGAAAATTGAAGCTATGATTAAATGGCCAGCACCTAAAGATGTAAAAGGGTTGAGAGGATTTTTGGGGCTCACTGGTTATTACAGAAAATTTGTTAAAGATTATGGGAAGATTGCTTGGCCCTTAACTCAGTTATTAAAGAAGGACAACTTTGAATGGAATGAGATGGCCCAAAGAGCTTTTGAGTCATTGAAGGTCGCTATGACAACCATCCCGGTTCTAGCAGTACCAGACTTTGAAAAAGAGTTTATTGTAGAAATAGATGCCTCAGGAAAAGGGTTGGGAGCAGTTCTTATGCAAGGAGGCCGACCTGTTGCATTCATGAGTCAAACTCTTACAGACAGAGCACAGTAGATGTCAGTTTATGAGAGCGAGCTCATGGCAGTAGTTATGGCAGTCCAAAAATGGCGTCCTTATTTGCTGGGCAGGCACTTTAAGGTACACACCGATCAAAGGAGCCTGAAATTTTTGACTGAACAGAGAATTATGGGAGAGGGGCAACAAAAATGGATCTCCAAATTGTGGGGTATGATTTTGAAGTTAAATACAAACCAGGAAAGGAGAATGGCGTAGCTGATGCTCTATCAAGGAAAATGCAGTTTGCTACTATTACCACAGTGAGTTGTGAGCTGTGGGAAGGGCTGGATGAAGAGGTGCAGGCTGATGAAAAACTTAAAAGTATCGTCCAGGATATAATTAGTGATCCAAATAGCCATGCTGGTTACCAGTTGAAGAAAGGGAGGCTGTTTAAAGAAGGAAGGGTTGTAATTCCAAAGAATTCACCACGAATTCAATGGATACTTGCTGAGTTACATGATTCTGCAGTAGGTGGACACTCGGGTTTCTTTAGAACTTACAAAAAAATAGCGGGCTTAGTCTATTGGGAAGGAGTGAGGAAAATTATTCAAGCTTATGTACAAGCTTGTGAAGTTTGCCAAAGGAATAAATACCAAACTTTGAGTCCAGGAGGTCTCTTACAACCACTCCCTATTCCTACTCAAGTATGGAGTGATATTTCGATGGACTTCATTGGAGGGCTACCGAAAGCTAGAGGGGTGGATACTATCATGGTGGTGGTAGATAGGATGACAAAATACTCCCATTTCATAGCTGTGTACCATCCTTATACTGCCAAGGACATAGCTGAAGTATTCATCAAAGAGGTAGTTAAATTGCATGGTTTTCCTAGTACTATTGTGTCGGACAGAGATCGAGTTTTTTTGAGCCCCTTCTGGGCAGAATTATTCAAACTGGCAGGCACTAAATTGAAGTACAGCAGTTGCTATCATCCTCAAACGGACGGGTAAACTGAAGTAGTAAACAGGTGTTTGGAAGCTTATCTTCGGTGTGTGACAGGTAGGAAACCAAGGATGTGGCCTAAGTGGTTAAGTTGGGCAGAATATTGGTATAACACCAATTATCATGCTGCTTTGAAGACCACTCCTTTTCAGGCTCTATACGGCAGAGACCCACCCGTGTTGATCAGAGGAGATGTACACCATTCAGCTGTGGAGGAAGTTAACTGATTGACAGCTGAGAGGAATGATATGGTAAAAGAACTGCAGGAACAGTTGCTGAAGGCTCAAGAAGTAATGCGAGTTGAAGCTAATAAACATAGAAGAGAGGTGGAGTATCAAGTGGGGGACATGGTGTATTTGAAAATACAACTATACAAGCTGAAAAGCTTAGCTAAAAGAGTGAATCAGAAATTGAGCCCTCGTTATTATGGCCCTTATGAGATAGAACGGAGGATAGGGGCAGTAGCATATAAGCTCAAGCTACCTATTGACAGTAAGGTGCATCCTATCTTTCATGTGTCTTTGTTGAAGAAATCGGTGGCACCAACAGTTCACTTTCAACCACTGCCAGCCTGTTTGAATGACGAATGGCATTTAGAGGTGACCCCTGAGAAAGTGGTAGCGCGGAAGATGAATGATCATGGAGAGAAAGAAGTGCCGATTCACTGGACAGGACTGCTGGAGTTTGAAGATTCTTGGGAGCTAGTTGACAAGATTGAGGAAGAATTTCCTAACTTTATCCTTGAGGACAAGGATAGTTTTGAAGGGGGAGGGAATGGTAGTAATAATAAAAGGTTTGGAAGGGTATATGCGAGAAAGAGAAATAGGGTGGGACCAGGGAATCACTCCCTTGTTATGCAGTGAATTTATGCATATGTGCTCTAACTATCAGGAGAGAGAAAATAAATCCGGATATATTGTGGGGTAACGAGAGTGAGAGAGGGGGAGAGTACTGTAGGAAGTAATTTCATTTGGGAGGCCTTGAGCACCTCGATTAGCTCAAGATAGTTTACTGTGCATTCTTCTTTTCTGTTGTATTTGCGGTGAATCATACTGATTCATCTTTATTTCCGTGCAATACTACATATTTTAGTACACTGCGTTCGTTGTACTTATTTCTTCTGTTATATCAAATTGATTCTTATCAGACTGATAATGGCATAATGCATATTCTCTATCATTCATGAAAAACATCTATTCTGATATTACATTATTGCCTTTTTTCTGTCAATTATTGTTGATTGTTACTGCATTTTGTGATTGATAATGGAATTCACATGATTTTCAAGCCAATTAGTAAAAATCTTAATTAATAGTGTTAATTTCATTGACACCTGCATTCATTGATGAATTTACTATAACTTTTGTAACCTTCCTATGTTGGCACACAGAGGCTAGTCCAAGTAACTCTCCGGCATCCATTATACCCATTGGATTATTCATTTTCATCAATTGATGAGGTTTGTTCCCACTATCTGTACTCAATTTTTCAGGTCAACCTATGTGCATTTCAAATGCTCATTAGCTGTTGTTGAATACTTGAATGTGTATACTGCTGAGACAATAACTGGTCTGCATGTGAATTGTGAAATAATACATAAATATGACATTGGTCTATCTATTTTGATCTAGTTGAAGATGCCATCAAAGAAGTGCCTTGGGAAATTTTGGGTAAAAAAGGTTTTCTCTTTAATAATTTGATGAAAATGCTTGAGTTCCAAATCCAATTATCCACCATAGAAAATATGGCGGATGGTGTTGCAGACTATGACAAAAGCATGATAGTTAATAAAAATTAACTATATACAATTTACAAAATTATACTAAACAAAAGGTAGAATATAACAAATATAAGAAAAACCAATATTGTATACAAAGAACAATAAACTAGAAACATATAAATTCAAGGGATAATAACAAGGACAGAGAGGAAGACAATTATGTCTTGGAACTGTCCAACAATTGGATAGACGGGTATCATGGTAGATATTATGTAATTTTTTTCCTGCCACTATATATCTGCATTGATATGTGATAGGGTATTTTCTCCATAGTTGTTAATCTTGGATAACAGCAAATAGCCCTAAAATGTTATAGCAGGATGATTTCAATTTAAAAATTGTATGATACACATATATATTATGTTATGTACACAAAATTGCATACATAATGCTCAAGAAATTCTCAAAATTAATCACATAATCATTATTCCAAGTAAAAGTATAAAACACTGCAATATGGGTCTTACATTAGACAAAATATACTGTCATAGGTAGTCACATAAGAAGAAAAATATACTGTCAATCTAATAGAGTCACAGACACATCTAAAGAGTCTTACATAAGCAAAAAAGATACTACTGTATTGTCATGGAGCAAAAAGACAAACACACTAGCACTTTCACAGCCATAACATGCTGTCAAGAGTCAAGACGGGACAAATGCAAGATTCTTACATAAACAAAAAATGCTGTTACATGATAAAGTTAAAGTCTAAAAGTGATTCTCTAGACCCTAGTCTAATAAGATTTTGTTGTTATGCTTCAATGAGCTTCTTCTTGATCTCTAATGGAATTTTCTTATAGGCACCCTCATCTGCCCTTATCCTCCATTTGGTGTCTTTTTGCTCTTGTAATCCCCCCTCTTGTGATTTTTTAAACATAAGTCACAAGTAACACTCAATAGCTTTAAGTCTATTCCATTGCCAAGCAATGTCTAAATTTTCTCTAGTGGACTTTACCAAGCCAAAAGCAGCAGTTGCAGAAGCTCCTTTCTTCTGTCGTTGGGAAGATGCCATTGAAGGGGGACTGGAACAACAAAACAGGGTGTGAATTGTGGGTTAGAGAGAAAAAGACCAAAAAAAAAAAAGAAAACAACTAGGGAAGAGCCTCACAAACATACTATTGCACAATCACTGGAAAAATGGCCAGATGCTAGATAAGGTAATCTCTCCGGCAAAATGGAATGGGTGAGTAGGGAAGTGACCATTCAAGTCACCTACTTTTCTCGTATGGAGGAAGATTGAGATACTGAGTTCATGTTGTCTTCTTTGTTTTTATAATATACTTTTACTAATTGATTTGCTTCAGTTTATAAATATCTTGATTCTGTGGGTAATCAGTTTAACAAGGCAATCACTGATTGATTGTATTGTTTTTTTGGTGCTGATTGTTGATTGATTCTATTGTTTTTTTGGTGTTGATTGTTGAAGGGTTGGGTAATTATAAACCTTAAAAACAAATCCAAGGTGATGAAGTCTACTGAAATGGTTGCTGTTGATTGTGAAATGGTTCTCTGTGAAGATGGGACTGATGCATTAGTCAAAGTCTGTGTCGTAGACCATAATTTAGAGGTAATTTATGATGCTCTTCCTTTTGCATGTGACCCCACCCCAGACGAAAAAATAAGTGGTTCACATAATTGTGTTTAAAATTACTCTCTTTTTTGGGATGTGTTGATAGATAATTTTCAAAACTTTTCAGGTGAAATTAAATGAACTTGTAAAACCTGACAAAGGAATTGCAGATTACAGAACAGATGTTACCGGCGTCTCTTCTCAAGATCTAGAGACAGTGACTTGCTCCTTGGCTGATGTACAGGTATTTTGTGGTTCCCTTTGTTATTTTCCTGTGTTATTCTTTCAAGTGCATAATTAAGATATATGTTGCATTTCCATAGAAATCCATAAAGAAGTTGTTATCAAAGGGAACCATATTAGTGGGACACAGTTTACATAATGATCTACATGGTAAGTTTGTCAAAACATTTTTTAGTTTATTTCGCTGTGTTCTTGAATCTACTGTTAGTTTTTGAGTATACAAAAGAGCTTTTTTCCCATTTTCTGAGTATACGAAAGGGTTGCTTCTTTGAAATTGTTTTCATGGTTCTATTTGATTTACTAATTGAAATTGTTTGCAGTGCTGAAGCTTGATTATGTTAGAGTGGTTGATACTTCATATATCTTCCAATCCTTGGATGGATCTATTCACAGGAGACCTTCTTTGAATAGTTTATGTCAGGCAAGTTGCAAATTAGTTACTTGCAAAATAGAGGTTCTCCATTGCATGTCATCTAATTTATGAAGCATTATTATGCGTAATGATCAGTTAGCCACTCTTTTGGAGAAATCCTATTGTTTTGAAAGTAAAGTCTCTTTCTTGTACACTTGTGTTTGCCTTTGTTTTGAAACTTGAGATATTGCAGCACACAAACTTGGATAAGGAAAGGAGGAAGAACAGAAATGGAAGAGATTGATTTCAAAGTTATAATTTATCACCATTTGTTGTGCAGGCTGTGTTAGGATATGAAGTTCGGGAAAAGGGTGCTCCACATAATTGTCTAGATGACGCATGTGCAGCTATGAAACTTGCTCTTGCAAAGATCAAACATGGTGTTGATAAAGAATTTCGGATTTCATTAGTTCAAGAACCTGTAAGCTGACTTATACGTGTCCAAGACTACATTTTAATTGTACTTGTGGTAACTAAAGGTCATCGGTATTACCGTTCTCTCATTTTAGGTTTCAGAAAGTGAGATGGCAAAGCTGCTTCTTCACAGGATTCCAAACACTGTGGACAGTGAAACACTGCATAAAATTGTGCCTGGATTCTTTGATATAGAACTGAAGGTAGAGTATGTCCTATAAGTATCTCATGTTTTGATGAAGAGGTTCATTGATAATTATGCGAATAGCGTGAATGTCTTCAATAGGACATTTAAGTTTGTCTGGTGGTACTGGTACTGTTGTTGGCAGTCTGCCATGGTAGTTTTCTTCTTGGATTCTGATGCATTGTAAAATCTGCTGCAGCCTTCCAGGAAAGGTCAAGGTCAAAATTATTCTGCCCTAGTTATCTTTAAGAACCCACAAGAGGCACATAATGCCTTTGTAAATGTCAAAGGCATCCAACAAAAGGTACATATATGATATAACAATGTCTAATGATGCTGGTTGATATCACTTTAAGATTGCTTGCAGATTAGCTGAAAAAAATGAAATTGGTCAAATGTGGATTCTACTCTGCCATAATACATGAATAGCTTACTTTTAATGTTTGTTCAGCAAAATGAGGACATTTTTTGTGGACAAGTCTTCTATTGATAAACTGATATTGCAGTTGAATATAACTGAAGTATATTGATTCACTTTTGGGATCTATTATCAATCTCATAATAGTGATGTATATTACTTTAAGGATTCATATGGACGGCCACAGAAACTTGTCACACATCGGCTAAGTTCAGGCATGTCTGTCACACTGTTTGTTCGGAAAATGGCAATTGATGAACCCCAGGACCAGGTTCCATCTAAGAGGGCTTTGCAAGTGGATGAGGAAATTGATGTTTCCAAGAAAGCAAAGGTGGATCCAAAAATTGAAGAGGATGCCCCAACAGGGTCTGGCAAGTGTGACATTGACTCCCATTTGAGTGAGATTGAAGCACTGAATCAACAATTGAAGCAAAGTGAGTTGGAGATTGAATCATTGAGGAAACAGATGACACAAAAGGATTTTGAAATCTCCATGCTGCATAAAATGATAACCTCCTTGAAAAAACGTAAGTAAACCATTTATCATTGGCATTTGAATTCAAGGACGTGGTCCTTCTCAGGTGAATCTTATAAAGTTATGGTAATTTCTTGGAAAACCGCTTGGGGGAAACCTAGAGCTTTGATGCTTCCATATTTAGTTGTCATATTAACTGTCGAGGTTCCAAAACTTGTTGGCATTCTGCCAATTCTTATTTTGGAACTAAAATTTTGTCCTCAAGGAATGAGTAAGTGGACTGATAAAATGTAGTTCGGGAACAACTGACGTTTTTACCAACATTAGTTATTATTGCAATTTTATCTTCAATTATTTTTCTGTCATTGTTCGAAACTTTTCTTTAATATTAAGTTTTAGTACATATTATGGATTTTGGCCTTTTTTGAGAATGTCTAGCATTTCCTTTGACGGTTTTTAGCAGTACTAGGACGTCATTAAAGGCGTGTCTTGTTCTCTCTATCCAACGAGTATTTCCTTTTGACCTAATATATACTTATTCTTTTTATAAGACACTTTCATTTGAATTATACAAATTAATAAAAATATTAAAATTTTTGTTAATTTTTTTAAGGTTTTAAAACTTATTATAGCATTATAAATTTACTCATTTGAAAAATTATTAATCCAATTGAACTTTATTGTTTCTGGAAACTCTACCTAATGAAATTTCGTTAATGAAATGCTACATATCATTCTACATTTACAATAAGTAAGGAAAAAATCTATAGATAATTTAACGTAGTTCAGCCCAATAATTAAGCTTTCATTTACAAATAAGAAGAAATCGAAAATAAGGTTACGGGATAATTTTCGTGGACACTCAACGTATTTGGTTTAATTTATTCTTATTAATTTTAAAATTTTTATAAAATGAATTTTTTTTTCAAAACCAATTGGTTACCAAACATGCATTCATCCTCATTTGTTTAACAATGCTTCACCATTATCAAAGTTTGGAAGAAAAAAATAAATTTATTCTTAAAAGCATCCACATAAAAAGAGAGGGAAAAAAAAAACTTGGGACTTTAAGTACGTGTTACCTCCTATTTGCTTTTACAAACTTTTAACATAATTTTATTATTTTATAATTTTTTATTGGATAAAATTATATATTCTCACTTTTGCAATTTTAAGATGGATGAAATTGAAAACCCTCTTTAAACGCAAAAATATCGAATCTGACTGGGGAGAAAAAAAAGTCCAAATATAAAAATTCAGTCCGTAATTTAAGCCCAACGGAATTCTTAAATTCAATATTTTTTTAAGAAATGGATAACCCAATCCATAGGAAACAAAATCCGATATGAACTATATCTCATATATCAAAAGTGAATATGATTTGAGAAAACCAGATTTTTCCTTCTCCTTCTTCTAAACCCCATATCTCTAGAAACATTGGCTTGCAATACCGGTTCAGCATCTCAGTCATCGCAGCCTAGGCTCACTCGCAGCATCACAGGTACTTTTCCCCTCCTCTTCAATGGGTTTTCCACAATATATTGAAAACTGAGCACACTGTTTGGGATATGTTCATGCCAAAATAGGAACAGGGTGGTATGTGGGAACAAACAAGAGTAGAAGAGGGTGTTTGGCTTCTTGCTTTCTAGTTCTTGTGGGGGCGAGAGAGAGAGAGAGAGAGAGAAGGAATCAGATAATCTGACATTAAAGGGTCATGTGCTTAGAGCCTGGTTTTTGGAACATCTCAGTTTTCTTTGTACGAATTCCTTTATCAAACATCAGGATCAAATATTATATATCAATATGAATGCCTTTATGAATTGGTGAAAGATTAGGATCAAATATGGTTCTTAAATGGACGAAAAGGAGTATAGAGAGTAACTATGGTATATTATTGTTTGCACTTGATATATATAGCTCATGCTCAAGGAATGACCAAAAAAAACATTTTATGAAATCTACATAGATGCAGATGTTGGCCAAGTGTTGTGCAAGCTGTTCTTGTGGGTGTGTACATAGCAGTGTATGCTATTGCTGCATTGCAACAACAATAATTAATGATTCTACGATGATTAATTAATTGAAAGACTTTGAATTGTGGGTGAGCATATACCATCAACATAATTTTTACCAACACAGTGAATAAAGAGAAAGGGAGAAAGAGGGAGAGGGAAAGCACATACTCAAATAGGGAGAAACTAAGCTTAAAGGGGAGAGAAAAAAAATCACCCACCAAAAGAGTGATAAAGGAACCTAGCAGGGGAGAATCTTCTTCTGCTACTATCTTTAGTGAAGTGCGTAAGAAGCTAAGAAGATTCTCTTTTACATGTTAAGCGAATTTTCGTTATTTTTTGTTAGAAAGCCAGTTGCAAAAATATCAAATACAATAGGGTCCAGTGAGGGTTTTGATCGATGAAAAGTTTTTAATTTCATCTAGTTTATTGATTGGATCATGTTTAATTTACTTGATCCCTTCCGGGTTTCACTCAAACAATTAAGATCAAAGTACTTTTTTCCTCCAAAATTATTCGTACCTTTTTCCCTTTGTTTTTCATGGTCTTGGTTTGGCTATTGTTGCTGCACTAGATTACCAACAAATACAAAGGTGTTGATATTCATAGAGTGGTATACTTACAAGGATAAGGCTTATTTAAGTTCTGATTAAATTTTAATGTTCACATTGTTGAACTTCATCCAATCTTTATTGTCATTTACAAAGTGATAATGTGATATACGAGAGAGCCTATGAGAAGGTTTATTTAAAGTTAATTGTATTAAAACAATATTTGAATTTAAAGCAACTGCATATAAGAGTATGTTTGTTTTCTCTTTTGGAAATTGTTTTTAGTTTTCAAAAATAAATTGTAATATAAATTTGTATTACAATTTATTTTTGAAAACTGATTTTGAAAAGAGAAATCAAACATATCCTAGGTCTTCACTTTCTCGCTTCAGATAAGCTAAATCTCAAATATAAGTGAGCAGAAAACTCTTATTGGAGCATTGAGTGGAATAATTGCTACCAGAATTGCTTAGTAGCTTCGACAACATGCCTGGAGTGTACCCGAGGACATATTAGAAGCTAAGCATGGATACAGGATCCTTAGCTTGCAAGATATAAAGGAAAACCGAGGCTATTTTTGTTCATGCATAACGTGAAAATGATACAAGTATTTATAGAGGAGAAAATACATAGCAACCTGAATACACCAACCTACATATATCATGTACGAACTATTTAAAAACTGAACTATTTACTAATTTTGTTATGATAAGTAACAACTAGCTATTGAAGTTGAACTATGTACAATTCTGCTATGATAAGGAACCAACTTAAGGTGCTGACTCCAATGCAGTTGTAGTTCAAATTACGTTTCATAAGACATCTTAATAAGATTGTTTTACAGAACTAAGTTATTCACTTTGTGAACCACATCTAGAGCGCTACAATACTAGGCTGATTATTCCTTGTAATAATCCCATTAAACAACTTCCCCGACAATGCTCCCACCAATATGTTGAACCCAAATGTGTTCTTCCATTTTTTGGTAGATTCTTTAGTAATGAAGCTTCTCTCATCTTTACATTCTCGATGCTGTTATGTGATTTATAGCATGTTTGGTTTTTATTATTTTAGAGATTTTCTTTTTCTAAATGTTAGTTCTTAGTTGTTAAAATGGTAGTGTTGTAGGAATTATTTTGTTCAAATTAATAAGACTGATATTTGTTATTTGAAAATCATATAGCTTAACTTCTATTGGGGACTTTCGCAGTAGAAATTATCCTTCAAAATCTGCAGTAAAAACCTGTAGTTATTTATTGTTTCAAAATAGTTCCATCATCTAGATTTTTTTTATGAATTTCAGGTACACTGTATTTTTATTCAGCTTTTGACTCGCCTGTATGAACTGTGTTTAGTTATTTATTGTTTGTGAATTCACAGTGGTTGTGGAAGTGACTTATTCGATGGAATACATCTTGCAATCTCACTTCACTGTGCCTTCCTTATTCTTCGTCTGGGCCTGTAGTTACCCGTGAATTATGATATTAAAAGAGCTTATAGTAGCATGATTTTGATTATATGCAGGCAAGGAATTACAGGATGCATGAGTGCTAACTGATGTTGGTGATGTTCCTATCCAAGAACTTCGAGATTGTGGGGTAGATGATCACAGATTAATGAATGTCATTGGTGAATCTGTTAAATTAGTGATGGAGGAGGTAATTTGTCAATTTGTGAGTCTCTGCTTTGAATGCTGTCACCTAATGTGAAATTCAAAATTTACACTCTCTGTTACATGCAGTATATGTCATTTTTTAATCTAGTTTTTCCTCATTATTTTCAGTGCATTATGATTAACATTTGATAAAGTTTATAAAGAAAAATGTGTGAAGTCCTTTACTTTTCTAATATTAGCATCATTTCCAGAAGTTTTATTCATAGGTAGCTTGATTGCATCCTCCCTTCTCCCTGCAAGTAAGGCTTTCTGAAGCTTCATATTCCTCGGTTTTTCTTTTGTTCCTGTTTTTAGGTTTTGCTGCTGAAGATTATTAATAATCAAATATGTAAAAAAGGAATTGCAGTTGAGGTCAATTGACACTCCCTTTTATACATGCTAGAGCTGTTGCTATAAGCTGGCCAGTCGTAGTGTGAATACAGAAGTAACTCCCTGCACACTATTAGCTTGCATCTTAACTTACATTGGCATTAAAATCACTGTTATTAAGGAAAAATGGTTAGTTAATATGTTCTTCTGCTCGAATCATGGAGGGTGCCTATGTTCGAAGACTTTTGCAGGCAATTTTGTACATGTTTATAGTGTTTATTTTGTAAATGGTTTAATTTAATAAGGAATTTCTAAAACATAAATTATGGTTATTCTCTGTGATAGTGTGACATTACTTTCATCTCATTTAACCTTTATATTCTGTTATTAATTTATGGTTGGCCACTTGGCCATGCATTGCTCTGGCTGAAAGTTATTGGCATAACAGAGCTGAAAGTTTTTTAATTTAGTTTGCATTGAATTATGGTAGGATCATGCACTTTAATTCATAACATCTAGCATGCATTTTTATTCACTTTTAGTTTGGATATAGCTTTTGTTGTTTTGGCAGTGACGCGGTGTAGGTGAACATTTCTCAATAAAACATAAAACATAGGAAATCAGTATAAAAATAAATAACTTTTTTATAAGTTAACAATTTGTGTTTTCAAAATTTACAAGAGTTAAACGAGAGAGTTTTTTAAAAAAATTAAGGAAGTACAAATTGTCTCTAACTTATGAAAAAAATTTATTTATTTATTTATTTTTCTATAAAAAATTTTATATAAGTTTATTCAAACTAGTTCAATGTATAACCATGATAGGCATTGCTGTAATGAAATAATCACGACACACAATGTCATGTCTTGGCCATAATGGGTGCTCAATCTGCAAAATTCCTCTGATTTTATCTGCTTTAAGCGATTTTGGACTTAGGCTGCACACTTGGGTATAAAAGCAAAAGGAAAGAACAGGCAATTCAGAATAAATAACAATTGATTGAAGTGGTTAATAGCAAGAGTTTCTACCTTCATCTTCTACCATTCTTTATTTTGTTCTTTGGTGATGTACATGCTTGACTTAATAACTATGGGTTGTAAATTAATCATAAATGAGTAATTTTTCTTATTCTAGGGATTAAAAGTAACTCAAATACTTACAAAATATACATTTATATAATTATTTTAGTTAGAATTTATGGTTTGTAATTAAAGAGTTATAGCTATAAAATTTAAAAATCCATAATTTTATAATTAACTATGAAAAATATACACATTAACGAAGAAAAGACATGATGATTGAGAAATGATGATGGACAACAAAATGCAAAATTGCCAATAGTGATCGAGAGGCATGGAAAGGAAGTATAGTGTAATTTAGAGGGAAAAAAAGAAAATGAGGTTTTTTATAACTTTTTTTTTATAAAGATGTGGTGGAAAAAATAAATGAAGTTTACTAAAAATAATTAGAATGTATGAATTTAATTTGAAAAGAATGGAATGAATAGGATATTAAGAAGTGTAACCTTTAAAATAAAAAATGAGATTTATTAAAAAATTTATTTATAAAGAGGCTATGTAAAGAGAAAAATGAAGTTTATTAAAATTTCTATTGCAAAAGTGTGATGAAAAAAATTAGAATAAATAGAATATTTTTGTAAAAATGATGGTGAAAAAATAATAAAAAATATGAAAAGGAAGATATGAGATTTATTATAATTCTTATTTATAAAAGGATAATTTTAAAATAAAAATTCTAAATAATATAATTAATAAAAATGAGTGATGTAAATAGCAAAACCTTTTAAATATAAGGTGAAGTTGAATATTGAAATTAGAGAAATATATGGGGGAAGATTTAAGAAAAGTAGGGGAATTTTATGGTATAAGGATAAGATGGAGGGACTTATTGGCAAAGGGAAGAAGTTGAGATAACAAAATCTGAACAATTTCGTCTCTTTCTTTGCTCTTGTCATAGACAATTGGGAGGAAGAGGAGAGTTTGCACTTTGAGCATTAAGGTTTGAATTTGAAGAGTGATTCTAATCCTTTACTTCAACCAAAACTCTATCATTTAAGTTCTAAAGGGATTTAATTGAACTAGAAATAAGCTTGTGGTGTGGGGTTTGTATGTTTTGAATCTTATGGAAGAATGGTTAGGGTTTCTAACTTCACAATGAATTGATGAGCGGGTACCGTGTTTCCACTTTTGATTGAGGTGAAAATATGTTTGAATGTTGTTATCATTGATTTAGTGTAAAATGGAGAAGAGCAATCTCCTAGGCACCAAGTCTCTTGCTACTAAATTGTCATTTTTATGCTTTAACCGATTTTAATAGTAATTTTACATGCATAAATAAATATATTCATGATTGAGTTGTGAAGTTCATGTCCTGGTACTAATGTATGTTAAACTGGAATGTAATTACCCACCTTATTTTCATTGGTTTCCATATGCCTAATTCATTGAGATTTGATTTGATAGATACAGATTGTAATGTCTACCAAGATAGGGAAATCCAATGTCAAAAATGATAGATACAGATTGTAATCTCTAGTAGGAGGAGAGGAATGTATGGCATACAGGACTTCTTGTTCCTAAGCAATGTTAGGATTATAAATGTTGCACAAGGAACCTCTAAGGAGACACGCTTTTAAATATTTTGAGCTCAGATTTCCAAAATAGGAAGAAATAAGATATAGCATTACTTTTGTGTAGAGATGAACTGTGGTACTATTGTTTCAAGTTGTTATTCCTTTTCGAGGGATTCTCTTCATACATCACAAAGAACTCATGATATTCTCTATCATACTTGAATGAATTGCGTCATAGCTTATGTTATGTTGATTTTATTTTTCAGATAAAAATTTAAAGAGAAAAGATATTTTGCTGCCACCCAAATGAATCTTTTACTCCCCAGCCTGCCGCACCAACTCTCATTTTCCAAATCTTTATCAACCCCACAACACCACTTCCTGCAAATCCCCGCCAAGAAGCCTTCAAATGTTAGCACCATAATCCGCATGGGTGGGGGTCCAAGAACCTTCCCTGGAGGGGTATCGAAGTGGCAATGGAAGCGCATGCAGGCAAAGAAGGCAAAGCAGCTTCTGAAGGCGAGGCTGAGCCGTGAGAGGCAGATATATGAGATGAGGAAGAGGGCTGAGTTGAAGGCTGCAGTGTCTGAGTTGGAGAGGCCATGGGAGGTTGTTGAGAAAGCCCCCAACTTGTTCTCTGTTGGTGCTGATGAACAGGTTAAGGTTCTTGCTGATAGGTTTCAGAAGCCTGGTGGGTTTGATTTGTGGAGTGAGAAGGATGGGCCTCAGTTGTTTGAGACCCCTGATCAGTTGCCCTCTGCAAGGTTCTTCCCTAAAGGGGTTGTTCATAGTGTCAAGCCTTATAAGAAGGCTGATGGGTATGGGTTGGTTAAAGGCAGTGCTCTTGTGGAAGAAGATGGAGTGACAGAGGGTGTTGATGGGTCTAATGAGGAAGAGTGTTCTTCTTCTTTGAGTTATGGAAGGAAAAGAATGCACTTTGATGGAGGTTTGAGCGACAAGGGGAATGTTGATGATGGGTCTGAGTATGAATCTGATGATGAAGAGAGTTCTTCTCCTATGAGCTATGGGAGAAGTGTTGATGGTGGAATGAGGAAAGATGGGAATGGATGGCGGTTTTTGTCTGAGGATGTTGGCTTGTCTAACAATGGAGATGGAGAGAGTTCTTCTGCTTTGAATTATGGGAGGAATGGGGTGAGTGTTGATGGCAAAAGGAGGAAAAATGAGAATAGAAGTAAGAGTTTTTCAAAGGGTGTTGATGGGGCTGGTGATGGAGGGCGTTCTGTTCCTTCAAGTTTTGGAAGGAACAGAGCGAGTTTTGATGGCATATTGAGGGGTGATGGGGGTGGAAGGATGGATTTATCCAATGATATTGATAGGTCTGATGGAAGAAGATTGAGGAGGAAGGAGTATGGAAAGAGGTTTGTCTCAAAGGATGGTGATGGGTCTAATGGGTTGTATTCAGAGGGAGTTGGTTCTGTCAGGAAACAGAGAAGGAGTAACTCCATTGCAGGCAGAAGGGGAGGAAAATATACTAGCAGAACTTCAAATTATGCTTCACCAAGAGGTAGAGATGCAAATTCTGAAGTTTACGATATGGGTTTGCAACAAGATGGGAGTTACGGGTTCCAGCAGAAGAATGAGCAATCCGACTCAACAAGTTGGTAAAACTGTCAACAGTCAACAAGTTTTGTTATTGGCAAAAGGTTTGCTCATGCATGATGACTGATGCTTTGTCTATGAGAGTAAATGTCATTTTGGAAGGCCTTTTCTAGTCAGCTTAATTGTATGTCTGATCTGCAAATGTGGCAAATTGAAACTAGACTAGAACTAGTCAAATGTGATGTCATCTTGTTAAAGTATATTTTGTATATATTATATTTGAATCTCAAATGAATACATTAAATTGCAATTCTGTCTTCTTTTTTTGAGCTAAGTAAATGCATTTTTTATGTGTCCTTGTTGCTTGCAATTAACTGTGGCATGTAGAAATTTTATCTTGGATATCAAGTGACAAGTACTTCGTTAACATTGGAAGGACTTTTGGGGTCTTTCTTATAAGTTCGGTGTTTGAAACATACTGATTTTAATTTTAAAAAGTAACTGACAATAGCTATGTTATGCATAATTAAATTTTATAAAATAAAATTTGTCCTGGATGGATGAAGATGTTTGGGTATTACTTTTGATCCGGAAAACTATAGAATTAGGAATCTCCAATACATTCAAAAAACAACATATATATTATTGTGATAAAAAAAAACACAAAATAAATTATTATATTCATAATATTTTTTACCTCTTCCATTCATTAAATTTTTCAAGGTGAGACTTTAATTATAAATAACTCACTTTAACCAACATTTTCATAATCTTTACTATGTCTCTCATTTTACCCTTTTTAAGTCTAAACCAATTGCTTAATATAATTATCTATAATATACATGAAAATAGACCAAAAAGAGTTCATATCATGTCATATATATGTTGCATATATCTCACATACTTTTATATTTATAACATATTTTCTTTATTATTTTGGATAATCTTATCATTAATTACAAAAAAAGAATTTATTAATTGAAATAGGAAACAATGAATAACAATTTCCAAATGAAGAACTTGGGTGAGACCGAACCCATTAAAACCAGCCACGCTAGTTAGCCCATTATCTTCAGCCTTCTGCTTCCATGTAATTATCCAAGACAGTACAAGAGAAAACATCTATATTGATTTTAAGATGACAAATGCTAAGTCTAATATTGATTAAGGAAATAAAAGTATAAATTTTATTTGAAAATATAGTTAATAAATTTCTTTCCTAATCTTGATTGAATTTTAACATTTTTTGTTATTTTTTATTCCATAAATAGTGTTTTTTAAACTCTGGTTAGCAAGTCCTTATAAAAATTTATAAAGTTCATTAAAAAAGTGACTACTATCATATATAAAATATTAAACTTTTCTATAAAAACTAAAAGGATGGGTCACGTATTCTTTGTTTTGGTGTTAAAAAATCAATTCTTGTAACATATAATTAAAAATATATAATTTAAATTAATCAAATATATATATATATATATTAATTATATTCAAAGATTTAAAATAATTTTTTTTAATTATTAACTTTAAATCAAATGAATACTTGATTATTTGATTTGATTTTATATGTATGTTTGTTTCAACTCTACCTAGTATTTAATATTAAAAAAAAAATTGAATCCATCTTTACTGGTTTAAAATGCAAAACTAAACATACACTAAGAGCATATCTTAATTTACATTTAAAAATTATAAATTAATTTTTTAATACTATTAATTATAATTTATACATATATATATACATATTTCATTATATTTAAACATATGTTGTATTTTCTTGATAGTTGGGTTTATTGTATTGATAAATGTACAAAACAACCAGAATGAAATATAAATTTTCTTTTATTGTGACAAAAATTATTTTATATAAAATTTGTTTAAGCAAATTCTAGAATTACTTAAAGCAAATTTTAAGTATTTTTTATCAACTTTCCTCTACTTTACTTTTGTCAATAATTACCACTTTCTCCTTTTCATATCCAACTCTTCTTCTCTTTTTTCCATACTCAATTTCTCTCTTCCTCCTCCAACTCTTTCCTTCCCCCACCTCCTACTTAACTCTCATCTTTCTCTCCTCACCTCCATACTCATCTCTCCTTTCTTCTTCTCATACCCAATTTTTTTATCCCTTACTTTACTTCTACACTACACGTTCTTCTATATTTATTTTTATCTTTTCTCTATGTTCAACCTCTCTCTCATGAGAATTGAATTAAACAAAAATGGAATTAGACATCTAACTTCCATTACAACTATAGAAGATCTGGATCTAATAACAAGGGAATAATTTTCGCTTATTTGTGTCATAATTGTTATAAATGAATTACATAAAATCTACAAACATATAGTTACCATTTTTTTTTTGAAATACAATTTTTTTTTTAATCAATGACACTTTTCATATCTCTAAATTGTTTTTTATGCTCTTGAAGTTTTATTTTTCAAGTAAATTAGTTCTTTATAGTTGTAAAATTAAATAAATTTGATTTTTTCATCAATTGTTTTTATCCAAAACTTCAAAATATTTTTTTTTAAATTTAAATAATAGGGGATTTAATATTGATTGATGATGAACGTGATACACTGAGATAATTAATTAAAAACTGATAAAATTTGAATGATTTACTATGACTTGAGATTAAGGTTTAAAATGAAAAAAAATATTATTTCAGATATATAAAATCTAATATTGTAATTTATAATATTTTAGTGAGAGAAATTTTAAAATAATTTAGTTAATTCAATTTGTAAAATATTTAAACAAAATATGGCGATTCAAAAATTCTAAGTAAAATAATGTAAGAATGTGCCAATTAAAAAAAATTAAAATACTGATATCATGTATTAATTAAGGATTTTTAAAAATGATTCAATAAGATAAATTAATGAAATTTTATTCATAAAAAAATCAATACAACATCTTAATTTTATTAGTTCACCTAAAATGAAATTTATTTCTCAGACATATTCATTAACCAAAGAAAAAAGACTAAAAATATAATTTATTCTTCTTCAGATCAAGTTGCTGGAAAATTCCTCAGGAAGGTGCACACATCAACATGTCACAGTTGGTTTAGGTCAATTTCATGTACAGAATGAATCTTTTTGGTCTCATTCACAAAATGGAGCTCTCAAAAAATAGGGGAAAAAAGAGGTACCAGTCATTAGAGTTCTTGTCAATGAAGCCCTGAATGGATCTGAACCTTCATTCATAGCCACCAGTGATGAAGTCAGAAAACCCCAAACAGACAAAAATAATGAAAACTAAAGGACGAAGGAATACTACTCATTTTGCATTCTTACCCTAATACATCCAAAATACAATAATGAAATTCAAGTTTTATAACAATTTGTATCTATTCATACACTTCCATTATTATCACATCCACTCTAAATAATTATACTTTCATATTTATGACTACATGATTTGTTTAATATTTTCTTTAAAACAATACCTTATATAGTAGATTTAAACATCAATTTATATAAAGAATTTATAAGAGTCATAAGTTATTTTTAAAATTTATTAATCATTAGTTTATATTTTAAAGTGATTAATTTAAAAAAAAACAATTAATTATTATTTTTTAAATAAGTGAACACATGCAGTAAATTTTGAAATCCAGATATAATCTAAATCCACATTTTACACTCACGAAACTAAATCCACATTTTAAGTCTTTTGTTTGCTCTCTAGGAGCGTAGGCTTGCTTTTTGTTGCACAGACTTCTAGATTAATTATTTATAAATTCATAAGAATCGACTTAGCTAATTTTTTATTTTATTTTCAGTGTGAATGATTTGACATTATAATTTATCATTATCATATTATTAGGAAAATGTATATATAATAATAGTAAAAGTTTAGTAATATATTTTATTTTTAATAAAAAATTAAAATAAAAAAGCTGTTGTGGTTAGATTTTTATGCATATTAAACAGGTAAAGAAAGTTATTATACATTGAATCTGAAAAAAGTCGTAAAATTGGTGGCAATGATAGTTTGTGAATAAAATGTTTTCGTAGTCTCTGTTCCAGCAAGTCCAACCATTCTTTCATGTTACTATCATCCAACCATTATGATAGTAAGTGCATGGAATACCCATTCACATGTACATGTGAGTAATCAATTATTCCACATTTTCGAACATAAGCTCAATAAACTTTTTACATAACTCTTTATTAATTTTTTCATAAATTATAAATGACTTATATTTTCTAAAATTTTAAAAGATTAAATGAATGAGCTTATTAAGAAATATAACATTTTTTAATTTACGAGAAATAAAATTATAATTTTTATATTAAATTTTTTTATACAAAAGACTTCTTTAAAAGTTTACTTAAATTAAATTATATAACATTACTAGCGTGCCATGTCAAAAGATGTCCTATAGAAGAGACAACAAAGTACATTGTTATTATATCCATGCCCTCATTGCTTTAGCAAAAACTAACTTGGTGTGTGTGAGAGTATTTTGGAGTGTAGTAGCGTAGAAGAAAGTAGAGGACACACACTCTTTCATCTCTACAATATCTATGGAATGAATGCAAAGCACACATGTTTTAGGATGATAAAAATGAGTTTAATTCAATGAGTTGAGGTTTTAGATTTGATTGATCTATCTAACTTGTCCCACTTAACGTGTGTTCAAAATATGTTGGGATGTGTTGATTTTATTCATATTCTTTTTAAATTTGTATAAAAAAAATTAGGAAAATTGTTCCAACACATTTTTCAAAATAAAATTGGCTAACTCCCGTGTTTTCATTCCTACAAGATCTTCGATGTTATCGAAGAAAAAGTATATAAAATTTCATATTTTAACATTGATCATAATCATAAAAACGTTTAGGGTATATCCTTTAAAATTGATTTTGTTCTCATAAATTGCACAATATGACTTTAATAAACTAAATTTTTTTTGTTTACATTGAGATAATTACAATGAGCAGTAACCAATTATTCTATAAATATTTTGATTATCCTATAATCAAGTTAAAGGAATCTCAATACTTCAATCCCACAAGAAGTTCAAGTGAAGTATAAATTTTTAGTAGAGTTATGTAAGAGATGTAGTAGGATTTTCATGAAGGTTGGGACATTGGTAGGAAAGGGCAGATTTTGCTACAAGAAATAGGGTTATAAATCTTGAAATAGTGATTTTTCTTTTGTTAGTCTTGAAATAACGTATTCTTATCCATGAAATGACTCACTTTTTATTAAACTCAAAAGGATACAATGCCAAGACTCATAACATAGATAAGTTATTTACTAATTTTTTTCTTCAGCATGTTTGTTACCCAGCTCAAGAG